CCCCAAAACCCCAAAACCCCAAAACCCCAAAACCCCAAAACCCCAAAACCCCTTTAAACTTGATATTTATAGAATTGCATACTATTAATTATGGACCCAGAAGATTACAAGGAAAGCAAATTCGGGAAAATCTACAAAGTAGCAGGACCTCTGGTCGTTGCTGAGAAAATGTCAGGATCTAAAATGTACGAACTTGTCAAAGTCGGTTGGGACAAGCTTGTTGGAGAGATTATTAAACTCGAAGGAGACACTGCATCTATCCAATGTTACGAAGATACATCAGGACTCACCGTCGGAGATCCAGTAATGAGGACAAACAGTCCTCTCTCTGTTGAGCTTGGACCAGGTATTCTTCAGACTATTTATGACGGTATTCAGAGACCTCTTGAGACTATCGCACATCTCACCAAGAGTGTATACGTTCCAAAAGGAGTTGATGTTCCTTCCTTGGATCAAGATAAAACTTGGGAATGGAATCCAGCAGATCTCAGCGTTGATGATATTGTGAGTGGAGGAGATATTCTTGGTCACTGTTACGAGAATGCTTTGTTCTCTCAACATAAAATCATGGTCCCACCAAAGGGTAGAGGAAGGATTAAGGAAGTAATGCCTATCGGAAACTATACCGTCAGAGATCCAGTTGTGGTCGTCGAGTACGAGGATAAAGAAGTAGAGTTCTCTATGTCTCACTTCTGGCCAGTCAGGCAAGCCAGACCAGTTGCTGAAAAGCTCCCAGGAAAGGAACCACTCCTGACCGGTCAACGTGTGCTTGATGTGTTGTTCCCATCAGTGCTGGGTGGAACCTGCGCTATCCCAGGCGCGTTCGGATGCGGAAAGACTTGTATTTCACAAGCTTTGTCCAAATATTCCAACTCTCAATGTATTATTTATGTAGGATGTGGAGAAAGAGGAAATGAGATGGCTGAAGTACTTGATGACTTCCCAAAGCTTACCACTATTATTGATGGAGAAGAATATGATATCATGCAGAGAACTTGCCTAGTCGCCAATACCTCAAACATGCCAGTCGCAGCCAGAGAAGCTTCCATTTATACTGGAATCACATTAGCTGAGTATTTCAGAGATATGGGATACAATGTCTCTCTGATGGCTGATTCTACTTCAAGGTGGGCTGAGGCCTTGAGAGAAATCTCAGGACGTCTAGCAGAAATGCCAGCAGATCAAGGTTTCCCTGCTAACTTGGGTTCAAAGCTTGCTCAATTCTACGAAAGAGCAGGAAGAGTTACTTGCTTAGGTAGCCCAGACAGAGAAGGGTCAGTTTCTATTGTAGGAGCCGTTTCTCCACCAGGTGGTGATTTCTCAGACCCAGTAACAGCATCAACCTTGTCTATCGTACAGGTCTTTTGGGGATTGGATAAGAAGTTAGCCCAAAGAAAGCACTTCCCTTCAGTAAACTGGAGCATCAGTTTCTCAAGTTATGACAGAGCTTTGGAGAAATTCTACCAGTCCTACGATCCAGATTTCATGAAATTCAAGGCCACTATCAAACAGTTGTTGCAGGAAGATGAAGATTTGTCTGAAATTGTCCAATTGGTCGGTAAAGAATCTCTCTCAGAGATCCAGAAAACAGTGCTCGAAGTTTCCAAAGTAATTATCGAAGATTTCTTACAACAAAATGCTTTCTCAAAGTACGATTATAAATGCCCATTGAACAAATCCTTGGGAATGATGAAATGTATCTGTTGCTTCTATGAGAATGCTAAGAAGGCTATCAATGAATCCCAAATGACAGACAATAAAGTATCTTGGGCAGTGATCTCGAACCAATTGGAGGATCAGTTCTATGAATTATCCCAGATGAAATTCAAAGACCCAGAGACACCTGAAGAAGAGCTTAATAAATACTTTGACAACCTCTGTGATGAGATCGAATCTGGATTTAGAAAGCTTACACTCGGATAATGCTAATTTTAACCAGAAAGATTTGAGCCTTATTAATCACCTCAATTGGTTAAAAATTATAAGGGGTTTTGGGGTTTTGGGGTTTTGGGGTTTTGGGGTTTTGGGG